AACACAATATGACCTTGTTTTAATTATTATCAATTTAAAACGAAAAGTGCTGCAGTCTTTTAAATCTAAAACTGACCTGAACACTGAAGACGGCAATGCTTGAGATCTTGTTAGTATTCCTTCATGAGGTTCAGGAGAGATGTGCGGGGGATCTTTATTAGCAGGCTTTCCTGGACCACGATTTAGCTGACAGGGTTCTCCTGAGAAAATAAAATAATCAATACGCGTTTTGCATTTAATTCTATGTTTGCAACTGTCAGACAGCGACAGGATGCACAAATATGTAATTTTCATAAATTAAATTTAAAGGACAAAAGGCACCTGTAAAATTTTGAGTCAGTATATTTTTAAATGCCTTAATTGGTAATCAGAATCCAGTAAGAAGATGGTGGCTTAGTAAATACGTTGCATAAACTTTATACAAAAAGCACATAGACCGTACCTGAGTCAATCGATTCTTGGTAGCGCCGTTTGCACCGTTGAAGTTTACTTATGGAGCTGAATTCCTGATAACAGATGCGATGATACCAGCCAGATAGCAGGTCAATAGCAGTTTTGCCAGATTTTAGGAGAATTTGGCACGTCTCCAGTACCTTTTGGTCTCCCCAAGATGCTCGATCATGGACATTCTTAAGAAGCTTGTCGATAATTTCGACACTGCTTGGGCAACCTAGAAACAAACACAATTAACTTATACATATAGTAAGAGGACATAAATTAGACCATGTACGATGTTTACACTGCAATATCGATATTCGGTACTGCACATTTGAAAGACAAAACTGGACGATTACATAGCAAATGTTGTTGCTGATATTAATTCCTGCAACTAGTTATTCGTATACAAAAGTTTTGAAAAAACAAAGCGGGATATATATAGCAATTTAAACTTACTTTTTGTTTGGTTGCCATGCACCTCTTGGCAAAGAATGCAGTTATCTAGTGTAAAGTCGACCCGACGACGTTTCAATTTAGACAAGATCATGTAATAGCAATACTCTGAAAGTGAGGACGGTTAAATTAAATTTAAAAACTTACAAAAGTAAAAAGTAAGTTATATTATTAGATTGAATTCGAATTTCTGACAATTTCTTTGTGCACAAATATTCATGGCATTATAAAAAGTTGAAAAAAGAGCACACGTACCGATTGCAGTTCAAAACGAAAAATGTGAGAGATCTTCGTCTATCGGGCATCCCTGGGGAAGGCAGGGCGGGCCTACGCCCCATACACCTCGAGTTTAAGTCTTCCTCCACAGAGCATTCCGATAGTATGAGCCCAGCAAGTTAGAGATCATCTTATCCCATCGTGCATACACAAATATATGTGTAATATATATGCATATATGCAGCGTGGGAATGCCAGGGACTGTCTTTTGCTTAATGTCTAATTGTTTACCAGACTTTGTGAAACCAGTTAACTTTAGTATTTGAACATTGTAATTAAGTTCTTGAGACTGAATAATTAAACAAAACGCTAAATATGGAAATATGTATTCGCAAAGTACTCATGTAACTGCACCCATTTTATCATAATTTGTTTCATTCTAATCTAGATAATATCAGAGAACGCGTTTCCTGAGCACATTGGCTTTAAACAGATAGTTGCAACGTGTTTCTCGAGTCTTAAAACCCCTAGTTTGATATATAGCATGACAAATTCGACCAAAATTATCAAAAACTCTGATTTTCACTACACGCGAGACCCTCAAAATGGGCGTGGCAAAAAAAGGGTGTGGCGGCGAGATACAAAATTGGCAACAAGTCTAATTATGTTCGTAAGGGTCTTAACTACCATATTCCGTTGAGAAATCGTTGTGAACAAACCGATCCAACGGAACCCTTAAATCGACCACTTTTCCCCCTACAGAGTCAGGGGAAAGTTCAATAAGAGTGAATATAGGGTGATGGTGGGAGATCTTGTCAGATATCACACCAGAAATAAGGGATTGATCTACGACATTGGTATGGATATTGTCAATACAGGTCCTGGAACAGCCAGGCATTTGGTGAGTTGGTACTGATATGGTTGGTATGAAGCCGTTGTTGAATATTATTTCTTGGAATTTGTCCTCTGATGGAGATGGGTCGTTCAAAATGTTAACATTGAAATCACCAAGAATATATACTTTTTTGCCATTCAGTTTTGAGAGAATACATTCATACGCTTTGTTGAACATCTCAAGTGATGCGTTTGGGGGACGGTATATAACCCCTACGACAGTTGGATCTTGCAAGCTAGTGATAGATACAAACAGTGATTCTATGTGTTCATTACAGAGAGATAAGTCAGTGATTTTGTTAAAGTTAAGGGAATCGTGTAGGTAAAGACACACTCCTGACCCTTTACCCTTGAACTGGTTTTTCTCTTGGCAAAAGTAGCGTGATTGGTAACAGGAGGAGTATCCGTTAAGCTGATACAGAGTTCCATTTTCGGGATTAGTGTTTGTTTCTGCAAGGCCGATAACAGAGAAGGAGGAGGACTGAGGAGGACTGAGGAGGAAGAGGAGGATGATGAAGAGGAGGAGGACTCAGGAGGAGGAGAAGGAGGACTGTAGAGGAGGAGGACTGTTGAGGACTGATGAGGAGAACTGAGGACGACTAGGAGGAGGACTGAGGAGGGGAGGAGGACGAGAACTGAGGAAGATCAGGAAGACCCAGGAGGAGGAGGAGGAAGAGTAGGAGGAGGAAGCATCTAAAATCTAAATGTTATTTCCATTTTTGTTATTTTTGTCTATTTTTGTCTATTTTTGTCCGTTTTAGTCCGCTCTATTTTTTGTCCGTTTTGAAAATATAGGGTACCGAACGGACAAAAAATATGACCCCCCCTCCCTAATGTCCCCAATGTGTCCAATGTCCCCAATGTCTCCAAAAACTGTGTCTCCAATGTCCCCAATGTCTCCAATGTCTCCAAAAGCGGTGTCTCCAATGTCTCCAATGTCTTTCTCTTTTTCGAAAAGATAAGGTGCGGGAGACATTGGAGACATGTCATCCCCCCCCCTGATGACAATGTTTATTTCAAGATTACCACTATTGTGAACTCAATAAATGTAGTTATCACTTCTTTATCCTTGTATCAGTGTATCCCTATATCCTATCAGGTACAGTTACTATAAAATGCCATAGCCAAAGCTGTTGAAAAGCAATATAAACATTACCATCTTGAGGATGAACTGATCAATCTTTACTGGTTGAATATAGAGAAGAGGATTGCATTCAAAATCTTACTGCTATCTCACAAATTCTTACTAGGATTGGCTCCAACTTATCCGTTCAGATTTACGTTTGGTGTGGGTAGCTTCTCTGTAGTAGCTTCTAAGATGTACAATCAATTTGATCAATCTTTGGAATCGTTAAAGCTCTTCTAAAAACTGTTCTATTTAAACTGTCCCTTCATGAAATTGTGAAACTTTATCGAAAAACCATTCAAGTCATATATGGTATAAGACCTTCAATTTAAAAAACATAACCTTATTGAATATTTCGAAATGGCCACAGCACACACATAGTTAGTAATCAGATTACACATCAAAAAGATAACCAAATAGGGCGAAAAGGAGTTTCGAAATGCAACAACAACACTAAGAAACATCCAAGGCAGTGGCGTAACGTTGCCTGTTGGCGCCCCCCTGCCGAAAAGGCGCCCCCCTGTTGGCGCCCCCTCCCCTTTTGGTGCCCCTCCCTAAAATTGAACAAATTAGGTGATTTTAGAGGATACGCAGATAAAATCTCTAAAAAAGTGTGTATCTAGAGCAAAACGCGCAGTTTTGCTAGTACTTTAGTTAAGTTTTCGAAATTGTCCCACATTCAAACGACGATTTGGCGCCCCCCTAAGACGGCGCCCCCCTGCACAGCAGGGTCAGCAGGGCCCTTCGTTACGCCACTGATCCAAGGTATTCTTGTGAAATTATGATAGTATTTGCTTTAGCGCTCGATTTTCATACTACGGTGTAAATTTTCGAAAATATGCGCGGCGCACCTAAAATTTTGGTTCCATTTAAAATGAATTTGTTGGTCCAAATTATATTTAATATATTTGAATTAATTGTTATTATATTGCAAGATATATCGTTAAAAATTCCAAAATATAGCACATAAGTACCAAAAATGAAGTGCGCGCAAAAAATTTTGACCACTTTTTGGGGATGATTTGACCATAGTTAATGGTCTGGCCAAGCGCGCGCTACTTCGTAGCACTTGCCATCTTACTGGGCCGCGCTCAGCCTGTCATTCCGCCTAATCTCTATTCGTTTGTAGACATGATAGCCTGAGGTCCCCAGGTAAACACCATCTTGTGCGGATGTGTTTTAACTATCTCCATGCAAATTTTGCCGACATGCCAACAAAATTAACTTGCTCAAAATATCAAAAAACATTTTATCACGTGGTTGTAGCGCGATGCGTTACTGTGCCGCGCCGCGCACTCAATGAGGCTTCTCACAGCGACATCGGCGAGATGCGCTACTGTGCCGCGCCGAGCTGCCATGAATTGACATCGTAAATTAAATCACGCGGTGACCCCCACGGTCGCTTCACTGTAGATGGTAGAGTTTCGACGATACAGGGGAGCCGCGCACTCGTGCGCGGCAAGTCATACAACGTATGACAAAAAAAAGGATTTTGGTCTATTTTTGGCCCAAAAATCTTTTTTTTGTGATTTTACCCGGGGAAACTGAGCCCAATTATCTCGAAATTACTTTAAATCGATTCTACGGTCCAAAAAACGTCTATATTTTACAGTAAGTTGTATATGGGGTCCCTAGCGTATCGAGCAGAAAATGCCATAAGAGCCTCTACTAGTATAGTAGGTAACAACTGTTGTCCTACATTTTTTAAGCAGTCGTTATCAGTATCAAAATATAGGCTATAGAAATAAACCAACTAATTACTAATAGTAAGATAAAGTTTAACTAGATAACTAGTGACTACTTACTCGTTGTTAAGTTAACGATGGAGGTTAAAACTGTAGTCACACTCTCTCACAGAATACCCAACAAACTTGTGAATTTGTTAGTCAAATATAATTACCTTTCGGCAAAATATCCTTACACATTGTAGGTAACAACTGTTGTTACCAGTATCAAAATATTTTAAATGTTATTTTAATTAATTCAATCATGAATGATTAACACATTTTGTACAACAGTGCAAATCCTATCAGAGAATGACGCTATATCTAACGTAGAAATAGAATGTTGAATAATTTCCATCAGGTGGTCTCAAACATATCAATCATTTGAATTGAAATCAAATATTGGAAGTTCATGAGGACGAGTCACTTTAGAGTCAGTATGTACGTATACATATATAAGTATTATTAGTACGATAATTGTTAGAAATCAATGCTGGCAGATGAATAACGAAAAATGTTAAAATAAGTTTGCGAAGTGCAATTGTTCCGGGTGAGCTGTTCCAGTAATCTAATTCTAACTCTCTGTGTTGTTGTTACACGCAGAGTCCTCGTGAGTTTCCTTGAAATGTTTAATAATACCTGACGTCATTTCTACCCCCAGAAAATGTCCTGAAAATAATAGTGAATAGATTACTTTAGTTTAATTTAAATCTTAGCTGGTAGTCTTTATTATCTTATAATAGACAAAAGTGCCGCCACGATGTCACGACAATGTCACGAGAGTGTCACGACAGTGCCATGACAGTGTCACGACAGTTTCACGACAGTTTCACGACAGTTTCACGACAGTGCCGCCACAGTGCCACGACAGTGCCACGACAGTGCCACGACAGTGCCGCCACAGTGTCACGACAGTGCCACGACAGTGCCATGACAGTGCCGCCACAGTGCCACGATAGTGCTGCCACAATGCCACGACAGTGCCGCCACAGTGTCACGACAGTGCTGCCACAATGTTACTTACTAAGCATGCTAGATGAGAACTGCTCAAATGCATCACACTCTGGCTCCTTGTGGTATTGTCTGAAGTGCTCTACCACACCGTCAGTCAAGTTAGTGCCTACAAACTTTCCTGAAATATTAGTGGTAATTATTACGGGGAGATTAGAAAATTTATATTTTCCCTGGTTAATTGTGCTGCAAACTAGAAGATGCTTTACCGAAACTTATAATTCCGACTTGAAAACACAGAGATGAAAGCATTCAAGGTATAAGACAGATAAAACTAACTCACTCAGTGGATCCCAACTGAAGGTGAGCTGCTGAAACAGTTCCTCAGTCAGCACTTTGTTGAAATAAGGTGGGGTGTACAGGACATCCCACCTGCTAATATTCACCAACGTTCTGGCGGTCTCCAGCTTGCTTTGCGTTTCTGCGAGTCTTCTGGAGCAGGCATCCAGTCTTTCTTCCGTCACGTTATGTTGAGATGCCTCCGTCTGTAGGTCACCTTTCACAGCTACTAGCTCATCTTGTGTAGATTTGAGCTGTCCAGTTACTACCTCCAGTTTCTCCTCTGTAGAGTTGAGCTGTCCAGTTACTACCTCCAGTTTCTCCTCTGTAGAGTTCAGTTTTTCAGTTACTTCCTCCAGCGTTCTTTCCATCCTACTCAGTTGTGTCTTTGTTTCATTGTACTGTCCAGTTATCTCTGCTAGCTTATCTTCCAGCGGTTTCTTCAAACGATCTTCTAATTTCCTCCTCCAATCACACATTGTAATCTCTCTCACATTTCCATTTCTTGATCTGTCCAGAATATCTTCCCAACGAAGAACCCTAATTTCTGAGAACTCTTCCAGATCAAAGCAAAGACCCCCTTCTGCTATTTTCTGGATTGATTCAGAGCTCAGAACATCCGAATAAATGTTAAATTGGGAGATCTGCCCTCCAAAAATGAAACTAGAAGTTTTTAGAATAAGAGAGTCTATTGAAGAACAAGGTCCCTCCCATTGTCAATGCTCTCCCAGATGGAGTCTGAGCCGTGGCTATTAGATTACCGTCCAGATACAGCTTGCTTGTTCTCGTGGCTAGTGACCAGGTTAAACAGTAACTAAACCACCTATCTACAGGTGTTGTAAACTTACTTTTCAGGCTATTCAAACCTCCATCTCTTACTACCTGGTTGACTCGCCCATCAGATCCTATATAGATCTCATTGTAACCTGTGTGGTACTCAAACACTACCGGATTGGAGGTGGATGTGTCTACACGTTTCATCCACGAACAGAGAGAGAGCGAGTCTCTGAATGGTGCCATGTCAAAGTTAAACCCGACGTAGTCGTCACTGGAGGTTCCAAAGTGAAGTGCATTGTAATCGTCGGAGGAAGCAGCTGGTAAAAAAACCAATGCGAGTAACAAGATAAACATATCTGCAGTTCACGGGTAAGAAATTATGCTAATATTATCTAGTCAGGGTATGGAGGCTTCAAAACGAAACTAGGGACTTTCTGGTGCAGGGCTTATTACTCTTAACATGAACTAACATTGAACCACAAAGGTTTTAATGTTAGATAACGTAACAAGGTGGCACAAGTTACTCTTCAGAGTCAGTATTCTCAGACTTGATAGGTTATTCCGCATATTGTGTTATCTGTTCGTGTATTCACTTAAAGTTCTGAAACTTTATACGCTCTGGAATCATAGTCCATGGAGCTAGTGGCATGTTATAAACGTGCAATATGTGATAAATTATGAGGTTCTTATTTAAAACAGATTGGTATAAAATTTCTAATGTGTCCTCAGAAGGCAGTGACTCACACGTAAACACGTGTAGCAACTGTTGTGACACATAAACTGTTGTTTTAAATAATGATACACAAACTGTGGATATAATAAATTTGGAAAATAGTCGGTGGGGGTCGTTCACACATTTCGGCTGTTCTTCCTCCACTGTAAGACATTTTACACAAAGTGATAGAAATAAACCAACTAATTAGTAATAGTAAGATTAAGTTTAACTAGATTACTAGTGACTACTTACTCGTTGTTATAAACAATGGAGGTTAAAACTGTAGTCACACTCTCTCACAGAATACCCAACAAACTTGTTAAGTTGTTAGTCAAATATAATTACCTTTCGGCAAAATATCATTACAAATTGTAGGTAACAACTGTAGTCCTACATTTTTTAAACAGTCGTTACCAGTATCAAAATATTTTAAATGTTATTTTAATTAATTCAATCATGAATGATTAACACATTTTGTAAAACAGTGCAAATCCTTATCAGAGAATGACGCTATATCTAACGTAGAATGTTGAATAATTTCCATCAGATGGTCTCAAAAATATCAACAATTTGAATTGAAATCAAATATTGGAGGTTCATGAGAACGAGTCACTTTAGAGTCAGTATGTACGTATACATATATAAGCATTATTAGTACGATAATTGTTAGAAATCAATGCTGGCAGATGAATAACGAAAAATGTTGAAATAAGTTTGCGAAGTGCAATTGTTCCGGGTGAGCTGTTACAGTAATCTAATTCTAACTCTCTGTGTTGTTGTTACACGCAGAGTCCTCGTGAGTTTCCTTGAAATGTTTAATAATACCTGACGTCATTTCTACCCCCAGAAAATGTCCTGAAAATAATAGTGAATAGTTTTACTCTAGTTTAGTTTAATCTTAGCTGGAGGTCTTTATTATCTCATAATAGACCAGAGTGTCGCCACGATGTCACGACAATTTCACGAGTGTCACGATAGTGCCACGACAGTGCCACGACAGTGCCATGACAGTGTCACGACAGTGCCGCCATGATGTCACGACAGTGTCACGACAGTGTCACGACAGTGTCACGACAGTGTCACGACAGTGTCACGACAGTGCCACGACAGTGTCACGACAGTGCCGCCACAGTGTCACGACAGTGCCACGACAGTGTCACGATAGTGTCACGACAGTGTCACGACAATGCCGCCACAATGTCACGACAGTGCCACGACAGTGTCACGACAGTGTCACGATAGTGCCGCCACAGTGCCACGATAGTGCCGCCACAGTGCCACGATAGTGCCGCCACAGTGCCACGATAGTGCTGCCACAATAGTGCTGCCACAATGCCACGACAGTGCTGCCACAATGTTACTTACTAAGCATGCTAGATGAGAACTGCTCAAATGTATCACACTCGGGCTCCTTGTGGTATTGTCTGAAGTGCTCTACCACACCGTCAGTCAAGTTAGTGCCTACAAACTTTCCTGAAATATCAGCGGTAACTATTACGGGGAGATTAGAAAATTTATATTTTCCCTGGTAAATTGTGCTGCAAAATAGAAGATGCTTTACCGAAACTTGAAAACACAGAGATAAAAGCATTCAAGGTATAAAACATATAAAACTAACTCACTCAGTGGATCCCAACTGGAGGTGAACTGCTGAAACAGTTCCTCAGTCAGCACTTTGTTGAAATAAGGCGGGGTGTACAGGACATCCCACCTGCTAATATTCACCAACGTTCTGGCGGTCTCCAGCTTGCTTTGCGTTTCTGCAAGTCTTCTGGAGCAGGCATCCAGTCTTTCTTCCGTCACGTTATGTTGAGATGTCTCCGTCTGTAGGTCACCTTTCACAGCTACTAGCTCATCTTGTGCAGATTTGAACTGTCCAGTTACTACCTCCAGTTTCTCCTCTGTAGAGTTGAGCTGTCCAGTTACTACCTCCAGTTTCTCCTCTGTATACTTCAGTTTTCCAGTTACTACCTCCAGCGTTCTTTCCATCTTACTCAGTTGAGTCTTTGTTTCATTGTACTGTCCAGTAATCTCTGCTAACCTCCTTTGTGATTTCTGACTGGATAATTTCTCTTGTGTACACACCGTAACCTCTCTCACATTTCCATTTCTTGATCTGTCCAGAATAACTTCCCAACGAAGGACCCTAATTTCTGAGAACTCTTCCAGATCAAAACAAAGACCCCCTTCTGTTATTTTCTGGATTGATTCAGAGCTCAGAACATCCGAATAAATGTTAAATTGGGAGATCTGCCCTCCAAAAATGTAACCAGAATTTGTAGAATGAGAGAATCTATTGAAGAACAAGGTCCCTCCCATTGTCAATGCTCTCCCAGATGGTGTCTGAGCCGTGGCTATTAGATTACCGTCCAGATACAGCTTGCTTGTTCTCGTGGCTAGTGACCAGGTTAAACAGTAACTAAACCACCTTCCTAAAGGTGTTGTAAACTTACTTTCCAGGCTATTCAAACTTTCATCTCCTACTACCATGTTGACTCGCCCATCAGATCCTATATAGATCTCAGGGCCACTTATGTAGTAGTTAAACACTACCGGGTAGGAGGCGGATGTGTCTACGCGTTTTATCCACGAACAGAGAGAGAGCGAGTTTCTGAATGGTGCCATGTCAAAGTTAAACCCGACGTAGTCATTACTGGAGCTTCCAAAGTGAAGTGCATTGTAAATGTAATCGTCGGAGGAAGCAGCTGGTAGACAAGTAAAAGCGAATAACAAAATAAACATATCTGCAATTCACGGGTAAGAAATGATGCTAGTCAGGCCGGTATGTAATAAATGCTATAATGGGTATGGACTATGGAGCCGAGAATGAAATCAGTCGCTCGCTTTTGATCCCATGTTTATTGAATCGTTATTGCCGAGTATAGCTGCCTTCAGGTAGTTACTTCTTTATCTCAACCTATTGCAATTGTAAATGAATGGGAAAAGCGAGTGACAGAAATTTAATTTTCGGTATCAACAGACTAGTGCCAGCAGTTACTGCGATAAATGCGGTTAAGTTGAGGTGTAACTGTAATACATCATACACCATTGAATTTGATCATACTATACACTATACAGGGTGTATCAAGTATTGGAACTATTGAATATTGAGACAATGAGATGCGCGGCGCGGCCCAGTAACGCATCGTGATCGCGCTACAAATTCAAAATTGTAGGTTAACAACCTACCAGGACGCGCGCCGAGTTGGACTCGTCGACGGTCCAGATATTTTACGACTACGAGTATCACCCGTTAAGCTACAAACAAATACTGGGCGGCGCACAGCCTGTCATGATTCTGCCGAATCTTTATTATTATGTTTATGGTTTGAACATAATAGCCTGGGTGAGTGGGATGCTTATATTTATTTATTAGGTAAACTGTAAAGCTTTAAGGGCTCTATATCCAAAGGGCTCTTTATCCAAAGCCCTTGACCCTTGTGCTTGCAGTAACGCTTGCCCGCAGCGGCGCGAAAGCACATGGTTAGGTGAAGCCTTGCTACACGTTGCACACCGGCCGGCCGCGTGCGATCAAAAAGGGTTGCAGCGTCACAGCGTGTGCAGTGTGTCAAGTTAACAGTGAAGCTTTAAGTTCCTGATCCTCTCACATACAACAGTCCAATCACTTACTCATACTGGGCGGCGCTCAGTCTGTTATTCTGCCGAATCTCTATTCTAATTCTATATGTTTTGAACATTATACTTATAGCCTGGGGTCCCCAGGTAAACCAATCACAAGCCTTTTTGCATATAAATGCACTAGCAACTTGTTCATATGTCATAGTTAATGTTATCCCATGATAATGATAGTTTCGAGTCTCAATTATTGGCACGCATATATTCAATATTAGGATGCAGTAAAGCTATCGGACTACGATAAATTGGGACTTGCCACCCCATGGCAATATTAAAATATATTGACTCTGTTACAACGTTTCGGTTCCTGTTAATATAAAACTTCGTTACAAATTGAACAAATTGAACTGGGATATAATAATAATATGGCAATACTACACCTCAGATCAATAAAATATGATATGTATACCAGCGCAAATGACAAAGGCTGTGATGGTAATGAAACATACTTTTGTTTTTTCTTACTATTGTGATTGGCCAAATTTATCACATCGTTACCCCCATTATCGTTTCACTAAGTATCGTTTCTACGATACAGGCGGGTCATACAACGCATGACAAAGAAGAGCTAAGTGTGAACTGTAAAGCACCAAGAAAGAGATTAGAAGTAAAACGGAGCATTAATTATGGTGCTTACTTGAATCAGTAAGCGAAATGAAATACTTCGTATATAAATAAGTTCATCGTAAATAATTACTTTTAAAACGTCCTATTATATTCATAGAAAAAGCAGAACTTGAGTGAGTTTCAAAGAAAGACGTGTTAAATTAAATTCGCTACTACGATCAGTCCCTCGGGCTAACAAATGGAATAACTTGTACAACCAAAAATATCAAGCTAAAAATACCTGAACGTGCAGTATAAAAGCACAAATTAAAAAGAAATTACATATTATTACGTCTGCTTTCGATTTCAATATACAAATTAAACTGATAATAACTTGAGAGAAAATAAAAATCGAGTGCATATAATGCTAGGGGGTAAAAAGACAGGTGAGATGGCATGACCATGGTATCATCACCTAAACGGTGGCAGATGGGTGATGAAAACACCTTCTTCTGAGTCCTCTGTAATACCAGAAGTGAGGGCCAAAACGTCTGTCAGCACTCTGCCAGCTTCTTGAGAAGACATTGCTATCATAGCAAACACTCCCTCGAACCTGGACACATCGCCCACTAGCTCGGGGGTGAAAAACACCATGTTCCGGATGATAAGAGCGATGAGGAGATGGAGGGACTTGGTGATGGGCGTTTCTCGTGGATCTGTCCAGGGTAGCGTGTTGGAGAGAAGCAGTTTTACTTTCTCTCGCGTGTATGAGCACGACGGGATGTGGGATAGAAGGGGAGCTCGCGCGTGGATATTCTGAGAAGTTAAGTTATTATATCACAATATTATATACAATAATAAGAGCTAGAGTTAGCACAATTGTGACGTATAGTAGTGTTACTACTAATAATTTAGTAGCAATTTTTGTGTTGTCTAAATGGCAAAAAACTGTGCTGATATTGAGCTACAAAGTCAGTCAGTTGGAATTATAAAAGCAAACTAACCTTGAGATGGAATATAAGAGAATATCTAGATCTAGCGCCAGCAGTCTCGGAGCAGGTAGCCCACATGCAAGCAGTGGGGCTCTCTGCTACATGTTTACTTAACAAGTGGTTCCTCAAATCTACTTCTCGCTCAAAACCACTGGAAGATATTAATATTTTATTAATGTTTCTGCTCTATAATACAAAATCATAGAAACCTTTTCGTATGTCTACATTTATATATTAAACTTGTATTAGGTTATTTAACTTGTAATAGGTTATTTAACTTGTATTAGGTTATTTAACTTGTATTAGGTTATTTACTGCAATTAACTTTAAAGACTCTGCTCACCCGGAGCAGTTTTTCCAATGACAAGGATAAGAATGGATGGAGGGCGGGAGGACTAGTTTACGTTTCCTCTCAGTAGGAAGTGATGGGCCGCAGGGGGTGGTGTTGGTAGTTGGGACACTTCCGGCACTTCTTTCCACTGAAAAGAGAGGAAGTAACACTAACATCTCATTTTTATGGTTCACTATATCATATAATATAACTTATCGCAACACTACAAATCTATTAAATTTATTGAGGACGTTACAAAAGGAATTGAGTTAATGTAGTCCGAGGAGTTCTAACTCTCCTGGCGTCCTAAGATGGCGTTTCTTTTGTCTCATATAATATGTATATATGTAATATGATTTCTGAAGTTAGTACCTGTAGAAGTAGTAGTTGTAGTAGCAGGAGATGAAATAGTAAGAGCAGTGGAGCAAATAGGAACAGGACGGGGAGCTATCCGAGTTAGAGGTCGTTTACCCCCGGGGACATGGGCTATCTGGGGGGACACACTCCCTCCTCCTACTCTTTGCTACAGGGATAGTAAGTTAGCAAACAACACTATAAGCTGACGTAATTAAACTCATTATATGTACTAGCAGGAACCCGTCAAACCTTTAAGACTGGTGTCAAGGCTCTTTGGTGGCCGGATCAGTTTCCTACCCTAAAGTCTCCCAGTAAAAATAATTATTACCTATTTAATTCGCGTTTTTGACACCACTTGGGGGTCCAAATTTTGGGTACTAAAATTCTTATTCCTTGGCCGATTTTCGATTTTTTCATGCTGATTTGAAGGCCATTATAGCATTTGAATCAGTTTAAAAAGTTTCAGTTTTATATCTTGTACGGTTTTTGCGGAAACCCGTGTTAAAGTTGATGCCGTGGTGTCAGTAAAATGGTGCGGATAAATAAATATATATTATATATCGTCTCGCTTTATATATAGTAAGATTATACTAATCAAATGTTTAATATTTCTCAGAAGAAGACCGTATGTAAATGTGATCAAATAATTTAACACTTGAAGACATACGTCTACTAGACGGTGCGTCTAAACAGATAACCGTTGGGATATTAACCTGGTTATTAGACATGAGAGCGACTGTACCGCCAGAGCCGTTAGTCATCAGTTTGAGGGGGGAGAGGTGAGCCATCTTGATGGGACTCAGCTTGGCTGGGGAGAGAGTGTAGGTGTACCTGCCAGGAGCCGTGCACACCACTGGCTCAGAGTACACAGTGGTGCAGGAGGTTGTTACTGATGTGTTGGAACTGACTGAGGAGACACGCCCTCCGGAGAAGGAGGATGAGGAGAGAGGAACCAGGATTTGTTTAGTCGGGGACCCTGTTTGGGAGGAGATGATGACAGGGTTAGGGGCGGAGTTGATGAAGACAGGAGCTGAAGAGAAGAGAACCTGGTTAGAAGGGGGTTCAGAGGAGGGATGGTGAGAGGGTGGGGAGGTCTGGGTGCCGATAACAAACTGTTGCACTGTATTGTTAGGGGTCTGCTGGGGTGCCAGCAACACCTGGTTGTTGGTTTGTTGAGACTGGGGCAACACGAGGACCCTAGTGTTGTTCTGCGGAGAGAGGATGACTTGACCTTGAGGGACCTGGCCTTGAGAAGCTATCAGGATCTGTCCCCCAGAGTTAGGGGTCTGCATGATAACTTGACCGTTACTAACGGATTGCTGGGTGATGAACACATGTTGAGGGCCAGTAGACTGGTTTTGGGACAGGATTATTTGCCCGGGGTTGCCAGTAGCTTGAGGAGCAAGGATAAACTGGTGACTACCAGCGGTCTGTGACTGAGAAGTCAGGAGGACCTGGTGACCACTCTGCTGCCCCTGATTTTGCTGAGCTATGATTATCGGCTGACCAGTGTTGTGTCCTGATGTTGCTATGAAGATTGGCTGTCCGGAGAGGTTTTGAGGTTGTTGAGGTTGGGATACGAAGACTTGCTGGGCAGTACCCTGATTGTGGGGAGCTAGCAGGATCTGTTGTGAGGTGTGGTGTTGGTTGTGAGGCAGCACCAGAACCTGCTGAGCCCCACTATTTGGCGGGGACATTATCAGACGCTGTTGGGGAGACTGCGGTAACACGTACATCTGCTGAGAGGATCCCGCCTGCTGGTTAACGACCATCAAATTCTGCTGTTGACCAGGCACTAGCACTTGAAACTGCGGACTTGTGTTAACAAACTGAGTGTTTGGTTTCTGGGGTGATATCTTAGCCAGACGAACTGTGTTGTGGAAACTGTTTGGTGTTGTTGGGTCAGTTGTCATGGTCTGGATTGTGGGGGACATTTGAGAGACAGATCTGGAGTTGATGTGACCTGAGATAGATATGGGAATCAGAGAAACGGCAGACATAGGTTCTCCTGATTGGTGGTTTGATACCACTGTCTTCAGAACAGTTTTTCTGGAGTCGGGAACTGGTGAAACCAGCACTTTTCTTTGGTTACCCGGATTATTTAGGATTTGAGGACTTGGGCCCAAAACGGGAACGTTTGACTGGATAGTTTTCTTAGGCGAAGTCAAAGGACGAATGTAGTTATCCACTTCAGCTTCTGATACAAAGATATCGTTATCGATTTTCAACTTGTCTGATTTTCCGGTCGAGTTTTCAGAATTGCGGTCGAATATCGAAGAGTCAGGTTGAAAATGAGGTAGAGGGGAGAAGGCGGGATCATCTAACACGGAACTGGAAATATAGTTGAGATGGTCCGCAACCTCCGAGGAGGATTTGGGAGTCGGTACTGACACAGAATCATAGGGTTTACATCCAGGCTGCTTCATAGCTTGATCTCCATGGTTTGTAATAGTTTTTTCTGAAGTTTGCGATCTTTGCTGTTCAAAAATTGAGGAATCAGGCTTATCAAAAGTCGGAGATCCTTGTTTCTCGAAGGTTGGAGATCCAGGCTTGTCAAAGGTTGGAGATCCAGGCTTATCGAAGGTTGGAGATCCAGGCTTATCGAAGGTTGGAGATCCAGACCTATCGAAGGTTGGAGATCCAGGCTTATCAAAGGTTGGAGATCCAGGCTTATCGAAGGTTGGAGATCCAGGCTTATCGAAGGTTGGAGATCCAGGCTTATCGAAGGTTGGAGATCCAGGTTTATCGAAGGTTGGAGATCCAGGCTTATCGAAGGTTGGAGATCCAGGCTTATCGAAGGTTGGAGATCCAGGCTTGTCGAAGGTTGGAGATCCTTGCTGATCGAATGTAGAGGAAGTGGGCTCGTCCTTGTAGGATTTTATCTTCTTAGAGTCTGGCTGAGAGCGTTTGAAAACAGGGGAAGAACATCTATCAAACGTCGGAGATTGTCCATCGTCTTTTAAAGAAGAATTATCTTTTTGTTTGTCGAAAGTGGGAGACACTACCCTCTCGAAGGTCCTATCATAAGTTGGTGAGTTAGGAGTGTCGAATACTGGCGAGGTTGGTTTAGAAGTGTGGGCTCGTGCTGCATTCTCTTCAATCTGGGCAAACACAGTGTTATCCAAATTGGAAAGAGGAAATCAGTGTCAGAATGTTATGATTATATTCCTATTAATAAATGCATGTCTGAGCTCTTGGGTTAAGAGTTTATAGTTGAGAACTCCCAACATTACAGGGTAAAATTAACATTACTTGTCAGGTGATCTGGCCAAGGAAGCTCTGATCAGAAAGTTAGTTTATCCTGTTTGAACTTTATGCAAATCATCGTATCATTTACGAATCACTTATGAAGACAAAAAGCTGAAGTTTTACCCGCTGTTTTTTCTCTGGAGTAGTGGATAGATCGAGCATGAGAGTCTTCTTATATTGACTGTACTCGCGGGGCTGCTGCAGGTTGAACCGATTAAAAGCGTTGTTTGGTCGATTATAGGGCGACTCTCCAGACAGCCTCCTCTTAGCACTGTACGTCTTGACAATCCGGGCTGGCTCTGGCGGGTTGGGGAAGTCGTTGTCCTCTGGTACAATGCGGCCTGGATAACAGTCATGGGTTGATAGTCGGCGGTAAATTGTAATTGTACCAATATTTGTTGAAATAGATTATAAGTGATAATTTATTGTGTCATGTAAAGATTCTCAGGTTCTATCAAAGAAAAATTATCTTATTTTTCTAACCATCAATATCTTCGCATTCCTCGATGATTTTCGGGTCAGATTGGTCCAACTCTTCAACAATGATTTTAGCCACTATCATGGCACCTTCATATTTCTTCTTCCTCCGTTTTTTCTTCCCAAACTCCTCATCTTCATCATCAGAACTCCTTATCTCCTCCTCCGACTCCTCCTTTCTCTCCGAGACGAACTTGAAGGCATCGTCAGCTATGTCGGTTAAAGGGAGAGGGTTGATTTTGACTTTAGTGGCGAAGGGAGGCTCAGCTTTGAAAGGCTCAGGTTTGGAAGGCTCAGGTTTGGGAGTACTGAACTGAGTTATGGGCGTGTTGGGGCGGGAGTTTCCTGTTTTAGGGGCTATGCTTTTTATTTTCATATAATATGCTTGTCCGTCTGAACTCCTGAGAAGGTTAAACTGTTATTATGTTGGCCGAACTGGGATTTAAAATTAATTTCAATTTATAAACTGCATCCAGGAAGGAATGAAAATAGCACAATACGAAAAGTATCTTCTCACGTGGAGGCGGGCTGAGCGGGTCTTTTGAGCCAGTCCATGTTCTTCACCACGAACTTCATAGTAGAACCTACACTGATCTTCTGTCTCAAAGAGCCGGGGAAGGTGTTGGAGAGCAGGGTGAAGAGCTCTGCAGGAGACACCACACCGGTCTGGGGTCCTGGTCTCACATTAACTGCCTTCACGTACTTGTTATACACAGCACACCTGCAAACAGCAGGTCAGTATCTGGCACTGCAGGTTTGCGACTTTAGGTAGCTGTCAAAGTGTGCAAGTTTATAACTTTATAATTTTATAGGTTTATAATTCTAACATTTCTGACTTACTTCAGTAATATGCTTCCAGGACTAAATTGGAGATTTTGCTTGACCCAACGTTCGGCAAATGAAACAGGTCCCTTAACTTTACCTACATCGACAGATTTCTGAACTTGGTTTTGCGTAATTGAACCACTTTTAATTTCCTGAAAAAAATTATAGTCAATCTAATATCCCCCTAAAATCAAATTTAACTGAGGATGACTTAAAGTTTTAGGTTTGTTACGGACAATGACATTTGACTGGTCGTAACGGAATTGTAATAATATACATAGTTAATGTTAAACAGTGAGAGATTCATGCCAAACATACCGCAGCTGTAACTCTCACATCGGTCCATTCTGCAGCATTCCGTTCCTCCAGCAGCTTCCTGGGTTTCCGTTCCACGAATCTGAGAACTTTAACTCCGCGATGTTCTAACCTCTCAGCAGTGCAGCTGAACAGATCAACCAGGGTGGATAGGATATGGGGTTTTGACAGGAATTGTTCACAAGGGTGTAATCCTGCAAGTAGTATTCGTTACTGAATTGGTTGCGGAAGAGCCTGACTAGACAAACTGAATATAATGGTTCAATTATTACAACAGAAAGGGCGTTTGGAAATAACATACCCAAACTTGTCAATGAATACATAGACTCGAGTGCGGAGTGAAGCAGCTGTACATCAGGCACAAGCAGCAGCTGACAGATCAGTTGATACTGCTCTGCACCAAGATTGTCTATCAGGTGAGTGTGATTATCGGCGATGGAGCACAAACTAGTTATCACCTCGAGGCCTGAGAGTGAATTTAGGGTCAAAATGATTTCATATCGTCATGAATCATTGTTGTTAGATGAACGGAAAATAATGAAGATCGATCTAGTGTTTAATAAACTAGCTGTCTGTTCTAGTTAAGAAGGATAGGCAGACAGCTGCAAGCAGGGCCAATGACAGTCGCATCCGCATTCATGTGACCAGAGTCGAGTGCGCGGCTCAATAATGCGCGCGCGCCAAACATAAACACAGAATGCCCACTGCAAATGTACTTTACTCCCAACTGAACGACAAAATTTGTGGAAATTGTGCTAGTAGTTTGCTACGAAAAGTTCCAACAGGGCATATTGTCACAAACAACACAATACAGACACAAAATTCCGACCATGGCCCAAGCAAGTCCGTCAGATGCCCAATTAAAGAATTTAGTTCAGTTCAATCCAAAGGAATAAGACGCACCTCGATAGTTTTACTGGATAGTTCTCCACAAATAGCGCGCCAAAAACACGTGAAACAAACGCGCGGCGCTCGGCGGCAAACATCGTCAACAGCTCAAAATGAGGGTTCAAGTCCTTAGGAAGTAAAAGAAAACTGGGAAAGCCAACAAACCTGAAGTTACAAGGAATCTGTCAGATGATGTGAGATACAAAGGAAGCTTCTGGAAAACTTGAGTTGAGAACAATGGTACATGTTCTAGTTCTACCTGCGGAATTGTGGTTTGAAGTTTCTCTTGTAGGATTAATTCGGAGAAATCAGACATTCCAAAAGAAAGATTAAGAGCTCCTGCTCTACGTACGGTATTAATTCTATTCTTGTTAGAGTCAAGTCGAAAAAATACATGAAGGTCACTAATCTGAGGAATATTTACAAATGTAGACACTGAGTCTGAGGAATGATATTAATTTTAGTTATTAAGTTTGAAATGTTTAATCGCTTATCCCTAACATCACAGCGCCGGTCTAGATTATCTGGTCTGTCTACGTACATATACATAACACATAATTACACGAAATACCATAAAATTCATCATACAACTGTACATTGCAGAAACTATTCCAAATATGTAGATCTGAATGTGCCTCGAGGCTCTTAAAATACGATTCATGGGAAAATAGCTGTTGTTTTGTTACGCAATAAATATGAATGATTGTACGTAATCGGTTTTAAACAAAGCAATCACACTGATACCTGATTAGCAAGCACTGCTAGGATCTGAACTCCGTTATTTCTGATGGGTACACAAGAGGAACTTAGACACTGAAAATAAAGAGATCAGGGAAACTTCAGACAGATAAGTAATTAATGATGACCATTAATAGTAATTTTATTAATATGTACTACTTATCTGTTAAATTCTCAGATATAAGGTAGCAGATATCTCAACAAACATTGTATATGTACTAAATACTTATTGGGCTTATTGTACGTGTGCAAGAGATATTTGGAGCTCCAGTAATTTACCTGAACTAAATACTGCATAAACACGTCACTGTGCAGGAGAAACTTAGCGTTACTTTCAACGTGAGACAGGTTGCCAAGTATAACACTGATCTGAAATTCGTTAAGTCTGTTAAATTATGGGTAAAACATTTAGAAGTTGTTAATATGTAATATACACACTAATTAATTAGTCGTAAACACTAAACAGGCCGTGGTGTACATAACAGACAATGTACAATGTCCATTAGAAAGTAGTCTAATGCTTCAAATAACGTCACTATCTTGATATGTACATAGCTTTAAATGAACCTCTTTCCCCTCTTTTGAGTCTTTATCCCTTATAATAATTTACCTGTATAGCCCTTGTTCGCTGAGCCTGAAGTCCGGTATTAAAGAAGTGAGAGTCTCGCTGAGTGTCCTGCCAGAAGTCGCACATTCCATCGTCATCCCAATACCTGAAACACAGTGTAACAACACTTGAATACACTACATTGGTTATTTACAAAGACTGTTAATTGTGTAATTAAGGACATGTCAAGTAACAAGGTTGCAACATAAATAATTAATAGCACCTGAGCAGCACACGTCATTATAAGTAAAGGGGGTTATCAGTCAGAAAAGTAATTGTAATTAACTGTTATACATTATGTACTCTGTGCACATGCAGTGTATAGTGAATATAATATAGTTTACCGAGTATAGTATACATTACACAATGTATACCATGTATAGTACAGTGTATAGTGTACAGTACAGTCTACACTGATCAGTGACCAGTGTCATGTGTACTATTTAAAGTGTACAAAAGGATCCAGTAACGATGTATTAGTAATAAACCATGTCATTACTTTACTTTATAGGTACTTGTGATTGACCATGTTACTGCATTACATTACTTTATATGAGGTATACAATTGTTGCAATACCTTGTCGATTTATTAGGAAACATATTTGGACATTGAAATCCTAAACTGTAATTAAATGTAATTACATATTAATTACATATTAATTACATAATGAGGCTAATCACTCACTGTTCAGTGGCTTTGTCGAGGATTCCAGTGTTTGCTACAAGAACAGGTAGTAATCTGGGGTATTTGGGGAGGGGCAGGGCCCAGGACTTGGTCATCCAGAGTAACATATTGAGACCAAACTGCACTTCGTTAGGCAGCCCACATTCCAGCTGTCTGATTACCGGGTTCACCTCGTACTTCTCTGAATATATATGTGTTATACTGTTTACATTACAGTACCAGCTGCTTTATTCATAATACGTATCTCACGATTAGAATTGAAGGATTATAGTTGGCAGTCAAGTCCATTTTAAATGAGATACTAGGAAAATTTAGGAACTTTGAACTGTTCATTCCGTGAGCCTCATACTCCTAGAATTTTAAATTAAAGAAAATAACAATTTCTAATGGAGAGTGTAAGTAAGGAAAATCCTCGCATTATAAGACTAGAGGGAACTAACTGAATTAGAAGGTTCAAGACCGACCTGGTTCGCCTGAAGGTTTGGGTAGAATGCCGTCATCCACAATGTAAGAATCTGATCCTTTACCTTCCAACACACAGCCATCAGGTATCTTCTGTTCTTTTACAGGGTCTCTAGTCGGTGTGACACCCGACACTTTCCCTTTCTCATTCGTTATTATACTTCCTGGTGAAGTATTGATAATATTAGATAGCATATTGAGACACGCCACCTTAGGACGAGAGGAGAATTAGGATTCATCAGACTACATTAAATCAATTCCTTCTGTAACGTCCTAAATAAATTTATTTAATTGTAGTTGTGAAAATAGTTTTAAATAAATAAGAGGCATCTATAAAGTCAAAACACTGTCCATAAAATAACTAACCTCGAAACTGAGCTGTTTTATCCCAGATGTTGTCCACAGTTCTGACTATAACTGGCGGGGTAGCCCCTCTAGAAGGTGACATTCCTCTGGATCCCCTAGCAGGCGATGCAGCAGAGCCCCTAGCAGGCGAGGCCCCTCTAGAACCCCTAGAGCCCCCTACTTTAGGGGAAGCAGGTCTGGTACAGGTTGAGAAGGTCTTGTTGGTGTGAATATTGTATCTTATAGGAGCAATATTATAGCGAGATGGGTTTAACTTAACAGGAGTAATAGTGTTTGTTATGCTGGGTGGAAGAGTGAGAACTGATCTGTCCTTATCCTTGCGCTTCCTATAAACACGTTTCTGTCGCGGCATCTCGCTCTCACTGTCCCGGGGAGCTGCTTCTTGTCGAACCTTCTGGCTGAAGGGCATCGCTTTGGGAAAGGGGACTCCTGATAGCTGGGAGGAACTCTTCTCGTAGCCCTCAGCAATGTATCTGTTGTAGATCTTAAAGAGGACGATAGCGTTTATATCTCCCATGTAGCCCATTTCCTCTGCTACCCTCCTCCATTCCTCCTGATCGAGTACAAAAGTTTAAATTGTATCCACACTCATTAAGGAGTGACTTAATTAAATAGAGAGACAAATCATGACCCAAAGAGAGAGAGAGAGAGAGAGAGAGAGAGAGAGAGAGAGAGAGAGAGAGAGAGAGAGAGAGAGAGAGAGAGAGAGAAACTGTGTCTAAGATGAGAACTGACCACATTGTCAGCGTAAGAGAAGTCGCCCTCAGTCTTCAGCTTTATTTCCCACACCAAACAGTAGAGCTTGTAGAGGTCTACTGTGCGGTCCTTCAATAAACATGGATACACCAACCTGGGAAATTAGGGATTACTTCACTTGCTAATTAGTTGTTGCTTAGCTTGATGCCTAAGATTCTAAGAAGTTAATCCGATGTTATTAGGTAAATATTTAGTCAATACCCGCTGTGCTGAAAGAGTTCTTATCCAAACTGAGCTACTGCCACATCAAGCTGCTTAGCTAATTAGCCTGTTAATTAGCTTGCTAATTAGTGATTACTTACCCAAACTGAGCAACTGCCACATCGAGCTGCTTCTGAAAGATCTCCCTAGCTATGGGAGTATGGCGGGGTGGAGGCTCCATTATCACCATCTGTTGATTGCATTCCTAACACTACCTACACAGTACACACGTGATTAGCAAGTTTAATTAATTAACTAATTGATTAGTTTGGTAAGGTCGAGGGAGTTAATGTATAGAAAGGAGAAATTTGATATTCAGCTATTTTCGATTATAGAAGTTGCAGATACTTAAATTAGTAAAAGACAAAAATATTTTGTCTTTTAGAATCTGTCTTCACTGAGTCTATTCAGAAACAATCAGAAATTTGAATGAAAGAACTATCAAATCATGAGACTCAATAACACTACACGAATCCACCAGATTAAAAAAATAAATGTAACGATAAATCTCTAGCTCTGTCCAAAAACGAACACTTAAACAGTCAATTACAAATTTAATTAAATATGTCGTCAATCATAAATAAACTTCCCCGTGTAAATTTAAGGTTTTACAATTTATAAATTTTATCGGTAATAAAAGGAAACAAAAGAGACATCGTAAAAAGCTATGTGACTGTAAGACTCTGAGGTAAAAAGCTAAATTATCATAATTAGAAACACAAATTAAATCCTAGAACAAAGCTTACAGTTCGAATATTGCGATATCCCGATATCTCGATATATCGGGTCACGGCAATCCGGAGTTTTACTGTAACATCTCTTGCTGACAGTTCGTAAAAGTTAGCAATTCAAAGCAGAGCTCAAGTCTCATCATCACTGGACCACCGACAGGTTTAGGCCCAACAAATCATATCCTAGACTTGTGCTCCCTGGAATAGCCCCTCTACATGATAGAACAACTAGACTGCTGACCAATAGCAGGTATGGAAGCTCCACTCTTTACAGCCTCAATAGCCTTCACAACATCCTCAAACTGAGGGAAGCCGCCAGACTGTAGCTTGCTGTAGATCAGGGTCCCGTCCAACACCACTTCAAAACTGGAGCGTCTGCCCACGGTTCCGACACACTCTGCTTCTGGCAGAGCTTTAGTGATGGTACCAGCTAGCTCTCTGTAACGAGGTCCATACCCTCACGCGCCGCAGTACTCCACTTCAACCTTCATCTTGGGGGACTGCAGTTAACTATTGTCAGGGTGATTACTTGAGCTAGGGAGATTGTGTGTGAGGATTTAAACTGGAGTTTATCTTAAATTGACGGATATTTGAGATGTTTAATCACTGAAATGGCAATTATAGCATAAACTCAAGACTCTTTACTAAAGACGTTTTAGTTATCATTTACGTCTATATTTTAGACTAGATATTTTCAAGGCAGTTTAGGTACAAATATGTTCAATTTTAAATTTCACAACAAGCGAATAACGAAGAAGCGCATTTAAGGCATGATGAGTAATGAGACACATAAGTTTCATTCATCTATATGATCCAAATATATATATAAAATACTAAAAAATAAATCATTAACTGAAATCCTATAAAAGAATTGTAGATTTATTTCCCATAAATATTCCTAACAATGGAAGTTAACTTACAGTAATACCCCGGTCCCTGATTTACATTAATAATAAATAAATTTAATTGGGGAAGTGTAAATCGGGTCACGGAAATCCGGGGTTTTACTGTTTTACATTTAATAAAATGCAACAAATATTAGAGGTTACAAATCTATCAAAAATTCAGATAAATTTGATGAAAATAAAATAACATCTCTTGCAAAGGACCATCAGAAAGCCAACAAACTTCCCGAAAAGTACAGTTCGTATCGTCTAGCCGCCTCCCTTGCGGTTTTAGCAACCAAAGTCATATCAACCGCACTCTCCAAAACAGTGTGCCGCCTCCCGACAAATCCTACTCGCGATGCAGTGCTCGCTGAACCGCGCTCACATCATCACAGCATCACGCTACAAGTCATATAGAACACGGAGTCTCAGTTGCACTTTATTGAGAATCAATCTGACACTTGTCTGGGGAAGCACCTTCAGCTACTTCCCTGACAGCGGCCACAACGTCGTCGAAGTTAGGAAAACTGCCCTTGGAGAGCTTGCTGTAGACCAGAGTGCCGTTTATCTTGATCTCAAATGAGGTGTTTCTGCCAACAGCTCCAGGAACGTCAGCGGAGGACACCTCTTCTTTGATCATTTTAGCTAGCATTTTCCACTTTGGGGCGTACCCTCACCTGCCGCAATATTCCACCTCTACTAGTACACTCATCTCTACCTCTGACGACTTGGAGTCACTTTCTTAGTGCTAGAATAGTGTCAGTGTTAGGATTAATTGTTGCACATTTCTGTAGACAAATTATATTAGCACAGAAATTTAAAACAATTTCAGAGCGAGTGAATAATTAGAAAGACCATTGTATAGTATAAGTAGTGAGATATATGGTAATAATAATAGTACGTGACCGCCAGGGTGATAGCAAACATCTGTGATGCAACTATTTGTATATGGTTTGCCCTCAAACTGCCGGTCACTACCAGGAGGGGTTTATTCTTGGTCGTTCTGTACTTCTTGTCAGTGGTAAGCAATAAATCAACTGGTTACATTTTAAAACACCAATTTTAAGTTAAACTAAATGATACATGTCATGTTATTCTTTACAAACCCCCTTTAAATCTAAAACTTAAACCAATCATGATTAATCAATTACTTTAAACAAAACTAATCAAAACAAAACACCACAAATCCAATTCTTAAGAATCGTCAAGTCAAAGGAAACTAAGTTGTCACACAATGGAAATATGAGGTCTAGGACACTTGCCTCGTTTACCACTTACCCTTGCCCTTCTTCTTGGATTTAGATTTAGGTTTAGAAGACTGCTGTTTGGGTTGGGGTGGTGGGGTAGGCGTGGGCTTACTCTCCTCCTCAATTATCTTCTTAGGTTTATCTGACATGTCAAGAGCGGCCTCAGCTGCTTTGTTTAAAGATGACAGACCCTGAGAACCCTTACCGATAGCCTCGTTCCTGTTCCTCTTCTTGCGTCGGTAATAGCTTCTCTCTTGTCTTGGAATCCATCTCTCAGGATCAGGACCTGCTTCCACCAACTCCTTCGGCAGCTTCCCTTTCTTCTTCTTCCGTTTCTTCTCTTTGGTTTCGAATCTGCGGTTTGCCTCGTTAATCTTCTCCTCCTCAGGCTGGATAACTTTCCTCAGCCCCCTCCCAGAGGTAACACCCACTCCTATCTCCAGTTGTTCCAGATCTATATCAGAGGGAATGTCAATGTCTGGCAAACGGAGTGCCACTTCGTGAGCTCGTGGGGCGTCAAACAGAGAGTAAGAGCGAATCAAGAGAGCCAGTGCCTTGATGTTAGTGGGGTCTCGAGCCAGCAACTTCTCTAGGTTCATTGCAGCCTTCTCCGGCATGTTAGTAGCCAGCATGAATTTAGCACACTGCAGAGCCCAACCTGTAATCTCCTCGTTAGTGTAATCTGAGTTGGTAAGTTCTTCTAACGCTTCCTCGAGATAATCAGCGGCAGCAGTAGGACCTCCGCCTATCAGAATAAGAGAAGCAACCAGAGAATAAAAACCAGGTCTCCCAGATATCGACACAACTTTCTTCAGAGAAGCAGCAGATTCACAATATAGTCCTGTCTTCTTCAGAAGCTCAGCAATAGACAGCTGAACCACCTCGTCGGTAGATTCACCTTCATGCAGAGCCTGGAGAGCCTCTTCAAACTTCTTGTCCCGAACTAGCGAGGTAGCGAGGAGAAGCGGTGCCAGAGGACTGCCTGCTTTCTGCAGCTGAAGGCTTTTCTTCTTGAACTGATCAAGTTGGTTCGTGTAGAAGCTCAGAAGACACGAGTTGAAGTCGATACTGTTAATCTGAGAGGCAGCCAGTTTTGCTCTGACGGTGTCGGTTGTTGCTATTTTCAGCTTCTTTTTGCTGTCAAACATGTTCTGGTCCTTGTTGAGACATATAATGTTGTTGGCTGCCGCAGCCAAAGTCTGGCTATCTCCTGATTTCTCCTTCAGTACCGTGTTGTACAGTTCCAGTGCCTCTTTAGAGTAACCTGACTTCTGTAAACAGAGTCCCTGCATCACATTTATTGGAGCTAACTCAGCTTTAGTTTCTGCCTCGTCGTCCTCGAACTCTTTCTTACACAGCTCGCTCGCTTTCTCCAGTTTCTGCTGAGCAGCATCAATATCCCCGGTCGAGACGCTGTGGCAAGCAGCGTTGTAGCAGAGTTCGTAAGTGCTTTCTCTGACACCAACCCACTTCAAGGGTTTGGATTTGAAGGCAGAAGAAGAGGCCAGAGCTGCCGCGAGGTTGGTCTCACGCTCGTTGGTGTAAGAGTCTACTGTGTTCTTTACCAAAGCCTTGTAAATGCTGGCAGCTTCCTCGTAGTTCTCTAGTTTGTAGTAGATCTGAGCCAGCAGTTCGTCTACTTTAGGGGAGGGCTCTGCGTTGTTTAACTCGGAGATAGCTTCCTCCAGTTTGTTCTGCCGGTATAAACAGTAGGCTCGCTCATGCCACATGGGAATCTTACTCAGCTCCTTGTCAGTAGTCATGGTGTGATAAGCTTCCTTACACTTATCTAGCTTTAGCAAACACACAACTTTACATTTCAAGGCATCCATATCCTTGGGATTCTTCTTAAGAACCTCCATAACAAGAGAAAGAGCTTTGTGGTGAAGACCATCCTGACCAAGTTTACGGATCTGAGTGAAGAGTTGTTCCACCGTCTTCTCTGACATCTTATCTGCTAGATTACGACTTGTCAGTTGTTGTGAATTAAAAATATGTGTGTCGTGGTGCAAATCTGGTTTTAATTTCAGGGAAAATATCTAGAACTCCCTGTTCTAGAACAGCGAGTTTTTTCAGAACAATTATCAAGAATATCGCATTATTTAGTGAATATTCTAAGTATTTTATTATCAAGAATGCAGCCAGGAAGCAAGTGCTACACCCAGGAGATTTGCTTACAATATTGAAATCTTTCGATGTGATTTATGATAATTCTAGCAAATACATTATGCCAATTCTTCGGCCAGTACTAAACTAGTTTTGGAAAATGTACATCAACAGATCCAAAGAGGGTGTAAGGAGAGAGATTTCGAAAAATTTCCGTAAATATGCTTTAAGGAATGAACTTTGGCAGTGTAGTGAGGAATGTTAATTGTAGCATGAATTGTATTGTGTCAATTTCGACACCAAGAACCCTGGAAATTATGGAATGGAGTTGAGCAACAAGAATTATAATTACAGCTCGTTGTACTTATAGCGCATATCTTGAGGAAAACTCACATGTTCTGAGGAATGAATTCTAAAAATCAGATATGAAATATGTAGCAAAGAAAGATTGTGCTCAAACTTAGAAAATACACTTTCGGGAATATAATAGTGAGTAATTTTAAGGTTGGAAATTGTTTTCTACTTGGGGGGATGTCGATGGGGTGACCTCTTTTGAGAATATAATACACCCATACCTCAAAACCCACATACAAACTAGGTTCACAGACTAAGAATAAACTAAGAATACAGAGCAGAAGGTAAGAAAACTTCAGAACAACAGGTTCAAATCGCAATGACTATTGATATATACCGAAAAGTGCTTCATCTTGAACAAGCGAAACTGACTATCATTATACTCAATCTTGACGTCATGAAAAGGTTTAACGCAGAAAAAAAAAACAAATTACTCGGAATTTGGAGTCTGGGATCATGTTCGAAAAGAGGGATAAATGTGTAGTTGTGAAATACCTTCAAGGCTCCGTATTATTCTGAGAACGATTCAAAATAAGCTCTAGTTACACGAAGGCCTTGGATAAACGGCAATAATAGAACGTTAAATCTAAATGAAATAAGTAAATATCGAGTGCACAATTTCTCGAAGGAGAACGAAGGTGATGAAATGTAGTCCATGAAATGAACTACAAACAGCTAATGTGAAAAGCAAGTAGAGTGTACCAGGAGGGTACATGCACATTGCACAAGGCCATCTAGTAATCCCTGTAATGTCCTGGCGGAAATTACTCGACTATAGTGAGATTCATCCGAATCTCACTTTGATTAACGGGGACAACCAAACTGGTTGAATGCGGTTACCACCTGTGCTAGCGTCAGAAATAAAATGTGTACCGTTTGAATCCAAGAGTAAGTCGCACTAGTACGAAAGTCTACAGCCGTAACGAAGTCCACAAAAGCTGAGGCCTTCCAAGCGGAGCAGAGAGGGAGATGAACGCGTCCCTACGGCATTTTGGCGCGCCACAGTCCCAATAGGGGACTGTCGGCCATATTGGAAAGGACAGCAAGCAAGAATCTCTCTAAGAGAAGAAACTGTATACACTCGTTAAATTCTCGCGCAATGGCAGAAATGAAAATGTTTGCGGAGTAAAATAATTTTTCGCGACGCGCGCAGCATTTCGAAAATTTTACATTTTAAAACATGTACGATATAATTATAATTTGTAATCACCATTAATAATATAATCAATAAATGATAATGTTATTCATTATTAGTAGAGGCTCTTACGGGCTTTGTCTGCTAGGTACACTAAAATCACCAGACCCATCTTAAAAGACGTATTTTTGACCGTAGAATCGATTAAAAGTGGTTAGAAGTGTTTAAAATGGGAGTTACCTGGTTTTATTTTGAAAAAACCGATTTATGGCCCCAAAAATGGCCATTTTTTGAGGTTTTTTAGAAATTTCGACAGGTCAATTCAATCGAAAAGCTTAGATATTTTGGGTTCTTGTACATTTTTATTTGCCGCACTAGTTAATAGCAATATAATAGGCATACACAAGAGTTTACCTGGTCAAAATTTTAAAAAACCTCCCAAAAAAAATGTTTTTTTGCGCGCTAAATTTTTTCGGCTCTTTACACACCCACAATGAAATATTTTTGCCCACAAAGTGTTTTAATACTGTTCAATAATACTATTTGATAGTTTTTCAGCGTAAAAACAAGTTTTGAAAGCGGAAGAAAAAATAATATTTTTCGTGGTGCTGAGCACTTTGAAATTTTTTGAATAAAATCGAGCGCTACCATAAAATTTTAGTAACCCTTCCCTGAAACTCATTTAAATTTTGTACCGGTAGTGTTTTGTCCTTTTCTGAAGTTCATGCCTTAATTTCATATAATATTGTTTAAAACAGCACAGTAAAGTGTTTTATAATAGTAGAGTGCCATTTCTAATACTTCAATGTTATATTGTTGAGATACCTTTACTATACTTGGCTGATTACCTTTTGTTAATACAATTTCACCAATTTAGTATTGCATTGCTTATATGACTATTTGGATTTATAATTTATCGATTGTGGGTATGAATTAACTTTTGGTTCACAATCAACAATAAAATGTCTACTGTATGGTACCCTTACAAGATTAATTATAGATCTTTTGACAGGAATGCCTGACTTAAACCCCCTCATCCATCACTCATTCCGTGTTACCTGTTGGATGTGGAGGAACCCTACCACAAACTGAAGTATTGTAAAGGTACCCTCAGGTGATCCCAACAAGGACTTTGCAGTAGTACTGGGTGAAGTTCATAAGTCAGCTGCTGAGACCCTAGGCTACAGGAAGGCTAAGAATAAGTGCTTCTTCTCTAATGACCCTACTGTTGTTGCCCTAGTCGCAGAACGACACAATATACGCCTTGCCCTGGCAAGCACCAACAAGCCCTGTGATAGCTCTGTACTGCGAGGACGGAGAAATAAGCTCGGTAAAGACATCAAAAAGAGACTGAAGGAGCTAGAGTGTGCTAAGGCTGACCAGTTAGCTGAAGAAATTTCATCAACTGACGACACGCGTCAAATGTTCGAAGCTGTGAGATCCTTAGCTAAGACCAAAGAGACAAAGCCTATAGTTGTCCACAATAAGGATGGGTACCCTATTGGTACAGACCTCGCTAAAGCTGAAGTACTCCGTGATTGGTACGAAGAACAGCTGACTGGAGATGAACCTGCCTTCGATCCGTTTGAAGGTCCCCCTTCTCCCCTCGACTGCCCTATCACAGAATATGAGGTAAAAACCGCTGCTAAACGCCTCAAGAACGGCAAAGCCAACGGACCTGACAATACCCCCAATGAGCTCCTCAAATATGGTGGGAGTGCGCTATGTGTCCATTACGCCAAAATCATCAACACCTGCTTTGAAGAGAACCTGTTCCTTGACGCTGTCGGAGAATGTTTCATCACCCCTCTTCAAAAGCCTGGCAAGACTCCTGGTGAACTGAAAAGCCTCAGACCCCTGACATTATGTAACTGTGCTCGTAAGCTGCTATCCCTCATTACACTCAGGAGAATTGAAGCAAAGGTAGACGCTTACACAGGTCCATGGCAAGCTGCCTACAAGCAGAAGAGAAGCTGTGGAGACCTGGTATGGTGTCACCGTATGTTGATCAGCATCGTAAAAGAAAGAGAGTGGTCTTTCCACAAGATGGGCCTAGACATGTCCAGTGCCTTCGATACAATCAGTAGGCAGACTGTGCTCAACCTCCTAGAGGACGCAGGGTGCACAAGAGATGAGATCAGACTAGTGAGATTCCTCCTAAGCAACACCAAGATCAAGGTGCGAGTCAACAACGCTACCTCCCTTGAATTCATCAGCACCAATGGAGGACCCCAAGGTGATAGTGTTTCAGGCCTCTGTTTCACAATCACTCTAGCTGGTGCCTGCTACCACCTGCGTGCCGTGACGCTGCGCCCAACCCCTCCTATAAGCCCTAGTGGCATGCCTGAAGAAGATGCCTACTCTGATGACATCGACTATCTTGGTGAAGACAAAGATGCTCTAGAAGCCCTCCTCCCTATCGCTACTAAGGTGTTCAAAGAGTGGAATCTGAATATTAATGAATCAAAGACAGAGTTTGTACACGTCTACATAGCTGGGAAAGATGAGGTCATGGATGATGGTAAACCCCTTAGAATGAATGAAGAATGGTGCAGTAGCAAGTTATTGGGTTCTCTGCTAGAAAGTAGGAAAGATGTCACCAGAAGAATCATGTTAGCCAATGTAGCATTCCAGAATTTCAAGAAGGTCTGGTGCCAGAGTAAGATCCCCCTACAGAAGAAGCTGAAGGTCTATGAGGCCCAAGTAGTATCTATCCTCATGTATAACTCTAGTTGCTGGGGAATGCCTAAATCGTACTGGGACAAACTAGATGCATGTCACCGTAACCACCTCAGAAAGATCATGAATGTCAGCTGGCCACGCAGTATGATGTCCAAAGATACCCTCTACAAACAGAGTAACTCTACCCCTATGTCTGAGCGTGCTGAGTTATCTAGGTGGAAGATGCTAGGACACATACTGAGGAGCGATGAAAGATCACCAGCTCAAGCTGCGCTGTGTTTTGCTGTCGAGATGTGTAGTGAAGTTGGTAGACTCGGGGCTCACAGACGTAACCTCCTACACCACCTGAAGGTTGACCTCTGGAAGCATTTCATCTTGCTTGAGTCGTATGATGATATTCTTCATTTGAGAGAACTTGCTAGTGACCGTAGTTATTGGAGTAAACTGTTCGACTTTATACTTGAGTACAAGTCAATTTGACTTTTGGGACATATAATCTTACAGAGGATCACATTTCGGTTCTAAATTATTTTAGGATTGTTGACATTTGTAAGATTGACATGTTTGATAATAATAATAATACACTTCAGTACATAAATAGAGCACTGTAAATAATATAGATTAGTTACTGCTATCTTCTCAATGCAATTTTGAATACATGTCAGGAACACCTGACTTAAAC